ACCCAAAGTGTACTTGACCACTCAGTATGATCCTAAATGTACTTGACCACTAAGTAGGACCCAAAGTGTACTTGACCACTCAGTAGGACCCTAAGTGTACTAGAAATACTAAGTAGGACCCTTCTTGTACTTGATCAGTAAGTAGGACCCTTAGTGTACTTAACCACTCAGTAGGACCCTAAGTGTACTTGACCACTCAGTAGGACCCTAAGTGTACTGTATTACTCAGTAGGATCCTTAGTTTATTTGACCATTCAGTAGGTCCCTAAGTATACATGACCACTCAGTATGATCCTAAATGTACTTGACCACTAAGTGGGACCCTAAGTGTACTTGACCACTCAGTAGGACCCTAAGTGTACTGTATTACTCAGTAGGATCCTTAGTTCACTTAATCACTCAGTAGGACCCTAAGTGTACTTCACCACTCAGTAAGATCCTTAGTTTACTTAACCACTCACTAGGACCCTAAGTGTACTTCACCACTCAGTCGGATCCTTAGTTTATTGACCATTCAGTAGGTTCCTAAGTATACTTGACCACTCAGTATGATCCTAAATGTACTTGACCACTAAGTGTGACCCTAAGTGTACTTGACCACTCAGTAGGACCCTAAGTGTACTGTATGACTCAGTAGGATCCTTAGTTTACTTAACCACTCAGTAGGACCCAAAGTGTACTTGACCACTCAGTAGGACCCTTAGTGTACTTGATCACTCAGTACAAACCAAAGTGTACTTAACCACTCAGTAGGACCCAAAGTGTACTTGACCACTCAGTAGGACCCTAAGTGTACTTGATCACTCAGTAGGACCCTAAGTGTACTGGAAATACTAAGTAGGACCCTTCTTGTACTTGATAACTCAGTAGGACCCTAAATGTACTTCACCACTCAGTAGGACCCTTAGTTCACTTAATCACTCAGTAGGACCCAAAGTGTACTTGACCACTCAGTAGGACCCTTAGTGTACTTGATCGCTCAGTAGGACCCTAAGTATACTTAACCACTCAGTAGGACCCTAAGTGTACTTGACCACTCAGTAGGATCCTTAGTTTACCTGACGACTTACTTGAACTCTAAATAAACCATTGACCCCTCACTATAGGGTCCTTAGTACTGTGTTTATCTGACACATACTAAGAACCTTAGTATCTCTGACCCCTCGCTTTAAGAACCTTCGTACATTGTATACCTGACATCTACAGGAACCATAAGTGTACTTCACCACTCAGTAAGACCCTTAGTATACTTGACCACTCAGTAGGACCCTAAGTGTACTTCACCACTCAGTAAGATCCTTAGTTTACTTAACCACTCACTAGGACCCTTAGTGTACTTCACCACTCAGTCGGATCCTTAGTTTATTGACCATTCAGTAGGTCCCTAAGTATACTTGACCACTCAGTATGATCCTAAATGTACTTGACCACTAAGTGGGACCCTAAGTGTACTTGACCACTCAGTAGGACCCTAAGTGTACTGTATGACTCAGTAGGATCCTTAGTTTACTTAACCACTCAGTGGGACCCAAAGTGTACTTGACCACTCAGTAGGACCCTAAGTGTACTGGAAATACTAAGTAGGACCCTTCTTGTACTTGATCAGTCAGTCGGACCCTTAGTGTACTTGAACACTCAGTAGGATCCTTAATGTACTTAACCAATCAGTAGGACCCTAAGTGTACTGGAAATACTAAGTAGGACCCTTCTTGTACTTGATTACTTAGTAGGACCCTTAAAGTTTTTGATGACTCAGTAGAACCCTTATTGTACCTAACCAATCAGTAGAACCCTCAGTGTACTTGACCAATCAGTAGGTCCTTAAATATACTAAACCAATCAGTAGGACCCTAAGTGTACCTGACCACTAAGTAGGATCCTTCGTGTACTTGATCACTCAGTAGGACCCTAAGGTGCTCGATCGCTCAGTGGGACCTTTAGTGTACTTGACCAATCAGTAGGACCCTAAGTGTACTTAACCAATCAGTAGATCCTTAAATATACTAGACCAATCAGTAGGACCCTAAGTTTACTTGATCACTCAGTGGGTTCCTAAGTATCATTGACCACTCAGTAGGACCCTAAGGGATTTTAATTGAAACAGTATCAATTTTGCAGGGACAATTAATGCATAAATCTAAATTTCCTTTAGACTAAAAACAATCTCAACTTGGGACTGGATAACGTTGGAAATATCATAACTATAAAATGTAATTTAGTTCACTCTTTAGTAAATACAAAATAAAACTACAGTTAATTACATATAAACTAAACAAAAAGTCACATCTTATCTATTGGGGAAAATAAACATTTGAAACTTAACAATGGAGCACAGGTTATTTTATCTGATTTAGATTTGATGAGACACGAATCAAAATACCACATCTCAAAGTTTCTCTTTTAAGCTAGTTTCGATTTTTTTCCAGATAGTGTCGGAATCTCTTTAAAACGTTAGGTAGGACTACGAGATCCGCCATTGGCAGGTTGAACGTTGGGGCATGTTCATGATCGTTACCTATCCCTCCGGCGTTGGAGTCAACCCGATACTTTGGTCAAATGTGCCCTTATTATTCAAGGTCATCCTCCATACTCAAGGGGTTAGTTCACTTTCGCTCTCTGCACCCCTGGAATATATGTCATAGCCATATCGAAACTCAGTGTGCGCCAACTTGTGGATGAGACAAAAAGGCTAGTTTAATCCTTTGATGTACATCAAAAGAATATGTCGGTCGCGTAAAGGTAAAACCGACTGGCTTTGAAGTCGGGTGTCGGCTTCTTCGTAATCTTTCAACGGGAGTTGTCAACCTAGTGATTGGTCAGGATGTTTTTCGTTACCTGCCCCCGTGCCTTCAATTTTGTTATGACATATTCCAGGAATGCAGAGAGCGAAAGCGAGCGTAACCCCTTGGAGTATGGAGGATGCCTCCAATGTGTACCCTTCGTAGTGTCAACATTTAAACTGTGTATTATCATTAATTGTACCCGAAATACGAGTTCTTAACCATACATAGGGCCAAAAGTGGGTTTTGTTTTAGATACTTTTCTAGACATGCTTACACTTCAATGGCATGTCCTATTATCGGAACATACTCCAATCCGTTCCTAATTGTTTCAATAATAACTGACAGATATAATATTATGTGGGAGGGTAGTTTGTAGCTTCTGGTTCATCAGACTGTCAGGCTTTGACCCTGTTCCACTGGATTTCTTTGATGGGGTAGTAATTGTAATAATAAAGGTCTTTAGACTTGTTTCGAAGACTCTTCACAGTCGATTCGGCTTTTTCCGACTCTCCATGACCTTGAGGGTATCAGGGATTGCTAGTAACATACTGTGATCCGTACTCTTTGGATAATTGCCGGAATGTTTTCTGAAAAATACTCTGGCTTGTTATCGGATATCAGCTGCTTTGTCACGACATGTCTACCAAATATGGACTTGTATATCACGACCAACTTGGCAATGGTACTATCCTCTACCAGTGTAACTTCTAGAGAGTGCGACAAAACAGTCAGACACAAGTAATTATGATTGATATTTTCAGTAAACTAAATCAGAATCAACTTTTTTACCATAGCCTGTCTGAGAGTGTTATTTCATTGCATTTCAACTGGATGGAATAACAGGCAAAGCCTATATAAATTCTCTCCAGCGGTGGCTAAATTAATGGATTCTATTATTTTTATTTGATTTAATTAAAACATCAATTTTGAAATGAAAATTATAAACAGACAAAAATTAAAGGGATGTAACTCCTTCTTAATTAACATAACTGAAATACAAATACATTCACACTTCTCACATCACACAAAAAACACTTCCACAGGTATTATTTATTTTTATAACATTTTACAATGTATATAAGCTATATAGCTATCAAATCACACAGATATTGGCAGACATTGACCAAAAGTCCATGTGCAAATATATGCACAGGTCACAGTCGCCAAAACTGTTAAGTTATTATTGTTTTATATGGAAACAGATAGCTAGTATATGTGTAATTCAATGTATAAGATGGAAACTGTAAAACAAGACAGATTGAACAAATCTTACAACAAACAACAACAAACAAACCTGCTCAACTTAAAACTCCTATGTCCGTAGAAGAATACCATTTATAGAAAAGTAGGTAAAGTTACTTATTTGTGGAGTATAATTGAAATAGGAATAGTAAAGTATAAAAGTATAAAGTATAAGGTCATTGCCGGTTAGATCGTATAGAGAGTGTTATACTTGACACATTCCAAACAGTCACTAACCTGTAGTCTGTGTCGCGACTCATGCTATGCCACCTCACAGATTCTCTTGCGCTCCGCCCACATTTGACTGAGAGAGAGAGAGAGAGAGAGAGAGAGAGAGAGAGAGAGAGAGATATTTTTATGTGAACCGTGGTTTTATATGTTCTTATATAAAGTTGTATATAGTGTTACTCAGCTTGTTTCTCATATCCTTATCAGAGTCGGCAATTCGCTCATCCCGTTACATCCTTTATTTCACAGCGAAGTCGCTAACTACACATTTACGATTTTTACGCCCAGGGTTAAGATATTCCTGGCATACCCTTAAAGTGGGGAAACATCCTATCAATATCCCTATTTATACTAGCGGTATCGCAAAAACTATATCAAAACTAATACCAGGTCTATCCAATAAAGTGTAGAATTATCGCACTTCACTACCGGCGTTTTCACATTCATCTTAATAACGAAATCGACACTCTTTCTCACAAAGAGTCATGATATGGCTGTGATTCTATGTCCTATTTGATTCGCACCTTGCCGGTACCGTCAAATTAGCACGCTCTGAATGGCTCCAAGTTTGCGGTCAACAACGTTTAAGAGACATGCATGTGAACAACTCTTTGTTTAACAAAATAACAAATTATTGCCTACAATAAATAAAACAAATGTAACTGATATTTTTGAAACAATTGTTGCTCCATGCATTTTATAGCTTTCAGGAAAGCACTTTGAGTAATAGTGTTTTTGTATTTTCAGGTTCCAGCTGATGACGATGCTGATCAGCCTGTTTCTGATGATGGGGATAGCTCTATACACTGTGTTGTACCAAGGAACAAGTATGTTGAACTTGAAGCCTCATATACGTGCGATAGGGAGTATGTTTATAGCACCGCCCCCTCCTAAACCGAAACCAGTGATTCAAGTCACCTATTATAACAGACCAGCGTGGATAAGCCAACACGTGTTCGACACGTGTAAGGATCGGTGCGAAATGATTTCGTCATCAAGATATAAGAACAGTGACGTAGTTGTGTTCCATGCTCCTACTCTATATCTTGGTACACCTTTGAAGAAATACAGGGGTCAAACTTGGGTTTTTCATGATATGGAACCGCCGTCTTTAGTTCCGAATTTCAAAAGATGGAAACGGTTATTCAACTGGACACTAAGCTACAGACGAGATGCCGATATCTTTAATCCATATAGTACTTTTACACGGAGAACAGACGCAGAGAAAAACGATATACATAAAATTGATTGGAACAATAAAACTAGGAATATTGGATGGATAGTTTCACATTGTGGAGTTGCAAGTCAAAGACTCAAATACGGAGAAAAACTTAAACAAACTATTGATGTTGATGCATTTGGTCGATGTGGGAAGCTTCACTGCCCAAGAGGCCAATGGCAAGAGTGTCTCGGAAAGTATAAATTCTATGCATCGTTTGAAAATTCTCTATGCACAGACTACATAACGGAAAAGAGCTTCCGGGTATTCGAACGGAACGTAGATTCAATACCTGTTACCCGTGGTGCTCCTGACTATTCTATGTTCCTCCCCCCGGGATCTTTCGTAAACACTAGAAACTTCTCATCAACAAGCAATTTAGGTAATTTTTTGAAAAGATTGTCAGATGACAAACCTACGGTCATGAAATATTTCAAGTGGCGTCGGTACTACAAGGCTAATGATCAGATAGACAGTAAGATGGGTTTTTGTGAGTTATGTAGGAGATTACATAATCCTTCACTGAAATATAAACGACTGTATGAGCATATTGATGAGTGGGTAAGACAGGAAGCATTACCTCGGCGTTCGTGTATACCTGTAGCAGACTTAATATAAAATTTAATGAGAAAGCGATATTGCACTGTAGCGGAATACAATATAAAAAAACACAATCCTGTTACCACAAATTGTCGTTGCAAGTTACTTAAAGTCATGTTTATCGTTATGTTGCGCAAGGCTGGGTACGATATCCTGTATGACTGGTATTACAGTTGCGGCTGGGTTATAGTTGAGGCGGGGTTAAAGTTTAGGCGGACCTGTAGCTAGGGCGGGGTTATAATTAGACAAACATTACAATTGGACAGGTGTTAAGGTTGGACAGGTGTTAAAGTTGGGATGGACCGGGATCTGGGGCGGGGCTATGATGGGCAGATATTACAGTTGGGCTGAAGTTGAAGTTGGATCGTTGTTATATAGAGAGGTTCCCCGTGCAAATGGGTTAGGTTTTGGACGGAGTGAAGTATGGGGAGAGGTTAACTTTGGGGCGGGTTGGAAGTTTGGTCGGCGCTAGTGCTAGGGTGGGGCTTTAGTTGGGCAAATATTACAGTATGACCATGCTTATAGTTGGACAGGTGTTATTTGTGGGTCAGTGTTACACTTGCAGCGGGTTGGGTTAATATGGGGGCGGGGCTAGAGTTAATAATAATAATAATTTACGACATTTATATAACGGCCTTTGAACATTACAATACTCGAAGGCGCTTTATAACACATATATAATAGTATTCCTACAGTGACTGGTATAAATATAGAAGGTAAAAACTTATGCAAATCACCATTTTACACAATGCAACAATATGTATTTCCATATGCACATATATTTATATAAGGTGGTAAGTACATGACGTTCGCGCAAAAAAGACTACATGTAAAATGCAGCCGTAAAAAGGTCGGGTTTTTTTTTCGTGAATTTAGCCAGAGGTTTTGACTTCCTGAAAGCAGATGGTAAGCTATTTCATAACATGGCCATAACCCTTCCAAAACACCGGTTTCCACAAGTCACACAGTACGAGATTGTGGGACCACAACAATGATTCTGTCTCTGACCTCAGTGTTTGTGACGGCTGATACAGGGCGACAAGCTCCGATAAGTATTGGGGAGCTGTTCCATTCAGTGCCTTGTATGCGTACACCAACATTGTGTAACTTGTGATATGGATATAGCACTGTGTTATGTGCCCTCTCTTTCGAGTACGAGTAACCAGACGTGCTGCGGTGTCCTGGATCCTCTATAAACGACCAGTTAATTTGTCAGATATATCACAGAGCAGGGCATTACCATAGTCCAACAGAGAAGTAACAAGTGCACGCACCAAAGTCTTGCATGCATCTGCAGTTATAAACTTACGGATACAACCGATGTTCTTCATCGATTTTGCAATAGTGTTTTCTCCATGTTCACTGAACTATCAAAGTATATCCCTTAGTTTTAAAACAGATGGACCAGTTTCAATAGTTCTCGCATCGTCCCTGATATGGAGAGCCATTGTTTGATGTCACTTCGGGGAAAGTCTTTTTGAGAAGGATAGCTAATGAAGGATGATAAAACCTTTAAAAAAAATGCTGTCTGTGGTCCTAACCACATTCTGCGAGTCTTTCCGTATTATAAGCCTTTTTGCATTGAATGAGAAGTGAACTTATTAGCTGGTATTGTTCCCTATAAATCTGATGGTGAACGGTGAATTAAGTACATTTGTACTTCGCCACCGTCTCTCCGCCTTTCTGCAGTTTTGTTTTTCCATTTGGATATTTTCATTTTACCACTGGGCATACATGTATCACCTTAGACTGCAGATATGCATATTCTTTATCAGAGATACTATAACAGATATGTATGCTTCAACAAGATCATCAACTTCATCTTCAGGAGACTGAAGGGCACAAGAAGACTGAATATCATTGATGAAATATGGTATGGAAATCTGTACAAATATCGCTTTTGTGTTTGGTGATGCCATGTCGTTTATTAACTAGTTTTAATTGAAATAGGGTTTCTGCATTTTATTTTAAGAGTTGATTCCACAAGTTGTGAAAACCTGTACCATATTAATTGTTAAATAATTTATTATTGTAATAAATGTGCTTTATCAAAATTATTATATCTTTCATTACATAATATTACAATTTCTTGATGTGTTGTTTAAATGACGACAAAACGTGTGCCATACAGATGGTAAAGTAGATAATTTTTGCGATAATTGTGCTTAGATGCAATTATTTTTGCTAAAAGGTGAACATTTTGTGTAAAATGAAAGCGTTAACTAAGGTATGGACAAAACCGCAATTTAAACTCGCAATTGGGTGATTGAGTAAAGAAAATGGCAATTTTACCACTGTTAAACGAAAACTTACTAAATACTGTATAGCAATAACTTGTTACATTCTAAATAGACTTCTTCTCTGAATTATATCAATATTTTAGATTACGCTATATTAGCGTATAACTATGTCAATTTTTCTTGTTTGCTATATTAGCATGTATGTAAGATATGTCTAAACACAAGGCTAAATCTGCTAAGGTTGAATAGTACAAATTTAAATTATAAACCCTAGGCTATTGAAGATGGTGAGATAACGAGGTTCGATCGTAAAATAAGATGCGTCATTTTGTTGATGAAATACCTTTGCATGAAACTTTATGCATTCTGTGATACACTTAATTAAGATAACTGTGATATCTTAAATTATGTCGATTGCATCAATATATATGTAACTTTTATCTAGCACATGTATTTTACTAGCAAGATTACCATGTTTATTTATATATCGATTGCGTAAATATGTTATTTTATCTAACACATGTATTTTACTAACAAGAGGACCATGTGGAAGATGAGCCTTTGGCTAAACATGTATTTTATCCTCAATAAATAAAGTTTATTATTATTATTACAAGCTAACCGGTAATAAGATTTATCTATATATTTTCAATGCCGCCGTGACTATTCTCCATAATTATGCTTATTGAAGATTTAACAGAAACTGTGGTTAGGTATACATGTAGCAAACACTAGTGAAAGCAAGTGGTTTTTGTTTTATAAAAGCACTGGATCAGCCCAACAGAACTCAAAATAAAAGTAGTGCATTTTATAAACTGATTTTCTATTCATATAGTAACAGTGATAGAGACCTAATCCCCGGGCCTGGAAAGTTATCCAAAGCAGGCACTTTCTTTGAGGAAGCACTGTATAAAGTCAGAAGTGTAATCAGCCCAAGAGAAATCAAGATATTGTGCATTAGTGCATTAAACAGATTTTCTATTTATAGTGACCCATTGACCTTTGACCACTGGACCTAAAAAGTTATCCCAAGCAGGCACTTTTTTTCCATAAAGCACTCGATAAAATCTGATAGTAATCAGTCCAACAGAATTTGAAATACAGTGCACAAACTGATGTTTTATTTATAGTAAGTGACATTGACCTTTGATATCAAAGGCTAAAAAGCTATCAAAAAGCTTAAACAAACATTTTATTTCACTGGATAAAGTCCATGTATGCACACACACAAGGTTCTACACTTAAAGTTGATAAGTTGACTTTAATATTCATATTTTTTTTCTGTATGTTATTACCATCTCCATAACATATTTGATGAAGTTGCTAAGTGTTTTCTATATATAGCAACAGTGACCTTGGCCTGACCTTGGAACCCTGAAACACGAGGGTATACCCATATTTGACCTATGTATAAAGTTTGACCAAAATCCGTGAAAGAAGGAAGTTGTTAAGTATTTAATTTGAATCAGTTGATATTTTCTATTTGAAGAAAGTGTGACCTTAACCTTGGATCCCTGAAATGCAACGATTTATGAAGTATACTCATACTTGACCTTTGCATAAAGTTTGACCAAAAACTTTCAAAGAATGAAGTTGCTTATTGTTTACATTGAATCGAGACAGGACGGGACAGGATGCCGCACCAGGGCAAAAGCTCACTTGTCCTTGGCAGGTGAGCTAAAAACAGATAGAAGGACAGACGGACGTAAAATCTGATTACTAAAGATGTGCAGGGGTCCTAACAACAAATTGTGTAATTGAATTGGAGAATCTCCGTTTGGGACCCCACTCCTCCCCCTAGGGAGCCAGAGTATTATGAGAGAGACCCTCTGTTAAATGCCATTCAGTCTTCTTAACCAAGTAATGCTCCAGACCATTGGTTTGAAAACATCATCAAGCCATACAGAAGGACTTCAAAGGATGTACTGTTTCAGGTGATTAATGTCCTCAGCCAGGGCCATATGAGGACGGGTGTCACCTATAGAAGAAAACTGCAATTCGAAGGAAGTGCATGTGTTGACGGAAAAAATACAGTTACTTGTAAGAATTTCCTATGTGCAAAGGGCTATAACTCCAGAAAAAATAGAACAGGGACACTGGATTCTAACTCAACCTGTAAACCATTATACATGTATACTAAGTTGCAAATAATATTGAAAACAAATAATTATGACAATTTCTTATGTGCAAAAGGGCCATAACTCCAGTCAAAAATGGAATTTTAATACATGGTTCAAACTCTGTAAGCTATTATGATAAAGCCACAAACAAAGTTTCAAATTGGTATGGTAAGCGGTAGCGAAATAAGTCCAAAAAAATGTTTATTTTGATAATTTCCTATGTGCGAAGGGCCATAACTCCAGCAACAAATGAAATATTGACACAGGGTTTAGACTCTAACTGTAATCCATTATGATAAAGCCACATACTAAGTGGCAAGCGGTAACGAACAAAGTATGGCAAACAGTTAATTATGAGAACTTCCAATGTGTGAAGGTCCATACATGTAACTCCAGCAAAAAAAATATTATTGGCATGCGGTTCGAACTTGATCTGTAATCTATTATGATTAAGCCACATACAAAGTTACAAATTCATATGGTAAATGGTGGCGAAAAAAGTCTGGAAAACTTAAATGTGACTGCCGCCGTCAACGACAACGTGTGATGATGGACAGACTGATCCTTAAAGTGTTCGCCATGCTTCTCAGGCGGCATGACTAATAAGGGAAGGCAGAACAGTGAAGAAAGAAAGGAAAAATTTAAGATCCGAAGTGTGTTGCAATGGGAGCAGAAGATCTATTTTGGTCTGTTCAATGTCCCCCAAGTAGTAGACATGAAAGAAAATCCCCGATTCTTCAGCCCCAATACATAATATGATACACATATGTGAACTGAGGGTTAGAAATTAAGTCCCTGTGCATGTAAATAATAATGGCGGCACCCAGTACCAAGTTGCCTTGTCGACTATGTCATGATTTATGTAAAAAAACAAAGGAGGACAATACTTAAAGAAACATTTTCTGTATATGATCAGTTGGTAGAGATAATTGGCCATATTCTAACTGTAAATGATAACCAAGGGGAATGCATAGGCGACCAGTGCTGAAATAATCTTGAAAGTTTAAAAGTTTTGCTAGTAAAGTGTCTATGCAAGGTGGCAGGGGAGGGAAATTAAACACAAGGCTAAATCTGCTAAGGTTGAATAGTACAAATTTAAATTATAAACCCTAGGCTATTGAAGATGGTGAGATAACGAGGTTCGATCGTAAAATAAGATGCGTCTTCAGCAGTATGCTCCAGTGAAATTACACTATAAAGTCAGCATCAGTCCTGCGCTATCACAAGGAGACAAACATGAACATACCACAGACTCCCAAAACACAAATTAATTATGCACAAACTTACCACACGCATGCATCTAGCAAATGGGGGAGGCCGTCCTTAAATGACCATGTATAGCTGTTGAATCAAACCTGAAGTTTATTTTGACATAAAGATCTTATTTATTTGGATAATTTCATGGAAATGATGACTTGTTATTTTAAACAAATGATTTGTTAATTTCAGCTTGCATGCACTGTATGAATGTTATTTTAATAACATTGTACCCATATGAATCCATGATTGTCGTGAAGTGGTGCTTTATTTGAATTTAANTAATGTTTTTTTAATAACATTGTACCCATATGAATCCATGATTGTCGTGAAGTGGTGCTTTATTTGAATTTAATACATTTGATGCTCTATAACCTGACCTGGAACGCATTCGTAGCCATACCGAGACAATTACAATACTGTGGTATAACTGTTTATATATTGTGTTCATAGTTTAAGCGTTTGCGAAACCAGCTGTTCTAACTTACAAACGTCCAGGTGACGAGAAAGAACATGAGAGGAATGTTTTTGACTTTTGACAGGAGCTGTAGACAATTCACACTTTTTAATTTGTACTATTCTTCTTTTTGGATAACAACACTTTAACTTGTAAGCGAAAAATACATCACTGATAGCGTCACGAGCAGCATCAATACTAAAAACGTCTTTTAATATTAACGGTTACTAAACTCGTGCTCCTGGTTACAAATAAATGCTGTGGCCCAATCACTTGCCCTCTGGACTGGTTTTTAAGTAAGTTGTTTTAGTGCCATGGATTAAACGAGCGTTACCTTGTGTTGTATTCTATCACATCAGTGTTTCAATACATACGGTATTAATCTGTTAATGTTCGATAAACTTCTGTTTATTATTACTGTCCTGATTATGTTGTGAGGTATTTCCGGGTCACGTTCTCGTATCAAGTGCGCTTCCGGTTACGTCATAAAATGCAATTTTTCAATTCATAAAATCTTGATATTTATTAATTAAAGATAGTTTAAAGAAAAACGAGTTAATAAAAATAATATCAATACATTGTAAATATTATTTTCTTGAATGTTTGCGAAGCAAACAACGTTTGATCATAATCTCGACACTAGAACATTTTTTCAAAAAATATGTTTTTTAACATTTGAAAGAAAAAAGTTTGAAGGGGAAGAAATCAATTTGTTCTTTAATGAATTAATGAAAATGATACAAAAAAGAAATATAGTAAATAATTGAAAGTAAATTTATCAAAAACATCATCTTTGAGAGTATGTTCTGGGCATGATCGTTTAGAAGCTTTGCAATACTTCAAACTCTTTCAAACGCGCATCAGCTCGAGATTAGGCCCTGTTTACAAAATGGCGACTGGAAGTAGCAAGGCGTATTAAATTGGATCTTCAATTGTGAATATTTCGGCAAGTAAACATTGTTCACAAAGCCCATGTGGTCTGTTCATCTAATTTAGTCAAGATGTACTCAGACCAGTCGTTGTTTAGTCGCTAGGGTCATTCAAATAAAAAACAGTATTATTATATAAACTCATTGTAATTAAATACAAAGAGAACAAGAATAGATGGAATGAAAAGAGACTTCTACTTCGTCGACGACAAAAAACCCATGAAATGACAACGAAACGACAAGATTTAAATGTAGTGCGAGTAACCCCGAGGAACTCCGAGTAATCATTTGTAGCTCCTGTTAAGATGCCTCCTGTCAATAAGTTCCACTTATAATAATATCGAGAGGTAATTCAGAACCGAAATTGACTTTTTATTTAGTCCTGTTACAACGTGTTGAATAAGGACAATTTTGACGCACATTTGAGCATCACTTTTCACTAAACGTTATATATGATATATATGCTGATAGGGACGTTAT